AAAATAACAAGATGGCTCAACACGTCAAGTAATGGATTTTTAGACCTTATCGGCTTCAGCGATGCAAGCGGCCTAGCAAAAGCAGCTGTTATATATGCAAGAGTACAAACCAATGATATATTCAACACACATCTTGTAATAGCAAAAGGTGGTGTCAATAAATTGAAAAATGCAGCTGTAATCGCCTCCGCACAAGAAACAATACCGAAATTGGAGCTTCAAGCATTATTAATACTAGCTGAATTGTACCAGCAAATAAAGAACTGCTTCACTCATTTGAATGTGCAATTTAGAGCTTATGTGGATTCTAAAATTATCATTTATTGGATGAGAAGCAAGACAGTGAATAAAAATAAATATGTACAAAGAAGAGTGGAAAAAATTCGCAAAATTTTGGATCCATATTCAATTCATTACATTAACACAAAATTGAACCCTGCAGATATACCAAGTAGATCAAGGATGATAGATGAGCTCCTGGATGAAAATCTCTGGTGGGAGGGTCCGGATTTCCTAAAAAATTCCGAACTACCATCAACATCTGATGACGATTTAAATAGCTCAATACCATCCACATATATTACACAAAATGAAGAAAAAGAAGCAGATATGTTTGCAAAGTTCTCAAGCTTCAATAGACTATTGAGAAGTGTGGCTTATATGCGCCGTTGGATGCAATATAAACGAACAACAGATGGAGTTCATACAGAATTTAGTGCAAATGAAGTGACAATGGCAAGGAAAAGTATCATAAAATATTATCAGCACAGAGAGATGAAGGATGCTATGGAAAAAATCAGAAATAAGCAATTAGTTCCTAAAGGTCATTTCCTGCGAAAATTGTCACCAATTATCGACAAGGAAGGGTTGCTACGAGTAGGAGGTAGGCTCCAAAATGCCAGGTTCCTGTCAATAAACCAAATCCAACCAATAATCATTCCAAAATCTCATCTGTTGACACTAATGGTGTCATACATACACCTCAAAAATTTCCATGCACAATATTCACTCATGCAGCGACTGATTATCGAGAATTATTGGATACCTGCTTTAAAATCCAACATTCATCGAGCAATTTCACAATGCACATCATGTACCAGATGGTTGTCAAAACCTATACAGCCGGAAATGGCCCAGCTTCCAGAAATGCGCCTTAAACCAGCCAATGTATTCGAGAACACAGGGACGGATTTATGTGGATATTTCAACATTCGAGCATCATCTTTGAAATTTGACCGAACAATGAAAGCTTACATAGTTATATTTATTTGTATGGTGACAAAATGCGTCCATCTCGAAGTTATCAAGTCCTTATCTACAGAAGAATTTCTATTAGCATTTTCTCGATTTGCCTCAAGAAGATCTACGCCAAAATGCATGCATTCAGATAATGGATCAAATTTCATAGGATGCAATAGACTGCTCAAGGACACATGGAAGTCAATTCAAGGTGAAGCAAAGAATAGCTTAGCATTACAAGAGGTGGATTGGAAGTTTATCCCTCGATTTGCACCAAGTATGGGAGGTTTGTGGGAATCAGGAATTGGAGCCCTAAAAAGTTTTTTGAAACGGATGGAAAATATTAAAAACTTGACGATCGATGAATTTCAGACAATCGTGTGCAAAATAGAGTATTATTTAAATTCACGTCCATTATACGCACTCGGTCAGAAAGATTTAAATAACTTAAGTCTTACACCGTTTCATTTTGTACTTCAAAGAACAGGATCGATACATCCCATTGAGACAATTAACTCTAAATTGCCTCTAACAACCAAATGGCTACAAATTGTGCAACTTCAAAAGGAATTTTGGAAAGAATTTATCAGAGAATATTTAGTAACTTTACAAAAGAAGACAAAATGGACCAAACCTGCAAAAAATTTGCAGATAAATGATGTTGTAATCGTTAAAGAGCCACATTTACTGCCAGGTCAATTCAAATTGGCAAAAATCACGCAAGTTTTTCCGGATCCAAATGGTGTAGTAAGAAAAGTACAAATTGAAGATGCACAAAAAACGAAATACACGCATGCAGTTAACCAACTCATTCCTCTACAACGTGAATTAATTCAAGGCCATGCTATCCAACTTGATAAGCAACAGCAAACTGACACCGGAAAGGAAATTGATGCTCCGGTTCCGCTGAAGCAGAGACTCAGAAGTCAGCGAAAAATCACAGCTACTCAAGTTCTCGTCACATGGCTTGCACTAATGCAGGTTGCTAATGCACAAATAACACAATTACAACCAGGAATTCACACCATTGAGCTAGGAAATGCACAAATACTATCATCAGCTATTTCAGTGAAGGTATTAACCGGAATAAATGTATTAGAGGACAAAACATTTATACTAAATAAAATTGGAAACTTTACTCATACATGCAAACACATAGCCCCTGAAATACACACCTATTGTGATCAGTGGAAAAAATTGTTGCACTATGAAGCTGAGCAAGCTTTCATGACGTTTGAAAGCGGATTTTCAACACGCAAAAAACGTAGTTGGGGATGGGCAGCCGTAAAGGGTTTTGCGGTTATAGCACCCCATATAATTACAGCAGGAGTAATGACTTATCAGCAATTTGAAATGAATCAGCTGCATGATGATCTTGTGAACAGTCAAAACAAACTCTTAAAAGCTACAGACATTGTCAATAAAATAACTAATGAAGCAACAGCAATGTCTAATGCAAAAATTAAAGAAGTCAAAATGATTCAGAACAAAATTGCCAACCAAAATCAAGTTCAGAGTGATGTTCAACAAATTTCAGAAATTATTGCTTTAGTAACATCAAAATATCTCGATCTTGCGAACATGCAACCATTGGATGAAGTTAGAAAGCTCTTAAAAAAGCATAAAGATATCGAGAATTTAGAAATACCGGAGTTGTCTGACCCAATGGATTTATTCAGCATATCTACTAAAGAAAAACTCTTGCAGCAAGGTGAAATTGTCATAAAATACAGCATTCCAATGGTCTCATCCACAAAATATAGAAAAATTGCAATAATTTCTATTCCATCTACAAACAGAGACATAGTAAAAATCAGCAAACACAGTGAATTATGTCATAAAATAATCATGGATGAGGAAAATTCAACATTTGGGATGATTAATGATCTGACACACTTTTATGAGGACATTTATGAAGACAACAGGTTGCAAAAAGTAACGGAATGCATAAAAAGTCTAATGAAGGAAAATGCCACAGCCTGTGACATAACAAAGGTGAAGGAACTTCAAGATGAAATTATCCAGCTGGGGGAAGAGATTCTCATTATAAATGAAAAAAACGACACCAGCATCACTTGTTTAAAGAATGATGGCAACAAAACAATGAATAATCAACAATTGTTCGCACACCTGATCAAATTACCAGCAGCATGTACGATCAAAACTCAGCGACACATGTTCTCACATCCACAAGAGGAATCAATTTCATTAGCATCAAATATCTCATTGGATCTTCGCAACATAAAAATTGAATACCCAAAAATCATACTAAAAAATAATCTCAGCATGATTGAAAAACAACATCATGACGTCACATCAGCATTAACACAACAATTAGAATCAGTTCTAAACAGCGATCAATTACAGGCATTCGGGAATAGCATTACAAAACAACCATGGTTTATGTATGCAATATGGGCTGCCCTAGTAATTACATTAATTATTACAGGGTTATGCTATAAAATATGCAAGCCGAAAGAAACAACAACAAGACCCGAATCATCCTTTATTAAATGGAGCGACCTGTGGGCAAGTAATCATTCAACTAGTATAAATAGCCCTAACTACAGCAATTAAGAATTAACTAAAACTTATAGTAATAGTGAAAGTGAAAAATTGATTGAACATTAAAGATTTATTCTAAAAAATATATAAGTGAAAATAAAAAATATCTATTTTTGAAATTAAAGACTTCATAGAAACACAAAAGATAAAAACAATAAAAAATAGTGATGGTGATGATAAAATGTGCCAAATGCAAAGGATGCAACAACCGCGCCGTCTTTCTGACCAATTGTGGTCATGCATTTCACCGTGCTTGCATTGACAATATGCAAGTTCGAGGTGCAAAAAAGGTGTGCTCAGTATGTGACAAAACTATATTGCTTACAAAACTACGTGTATTAGATATCAACATTGATATGCCGAACAATACACAGCAATTATTGGACACCATTAAATCGCTTCAAGAAGAAAAAAAAGCGGATGCAGCCACTATCGAGATCCTCCAAAAAACGAATCAACACAACGAGGAATTGATAAAAACGTTCAAAAACAATATGCGTGAACATATTGATACGGCAATAAACAACAAGCACATAGAGCGTATAGCTCTTCTCACAATGCTTTATGAGCACAAGAAAGTGGCATTGGAGCTAATCGGCAACATTTATCGCAAAGAAACTGGTCGAATGCTGCCATATCAACTACAACTACTTATGGAATCTGGCAAGCATTACGAAAAATGGAACTTGCATAACAACATAATATCAGAAATATTAAAGAAAGCAGGAGAGCAATTTTACGGTGGAAATGGAACGACAATGAACGCAGCAGCACTTCAACTACCAACATTGGAAGCTTTTATCCGCAACCCATCAGTGGCCTCATCAACTATCAGTCAAAGCACAACTGTAGTCTCATCCGAAGGAATAAAAGAAGAATAAAGCGCCCCCGGAAATTGTTTTAAGTTTATCTATACTTTATTATTTTTTTTACAAGTTTATGAGTCATGGACATACATGAATCATAGTTCACATGAGTCATGAGTCCATGAGTCATGATAACGTAAGATGACACCTTTGGGTGTCATCTTACAGTTATCAATTATAGATTCAGACTATAAATAGCATGTTAGATTTAAGAACAGTGCAGTTTAACTTTAACTTTTATACGATACAGTTATCAATTAACTTTTATAATAAACAGTTCAATAAAAATATTTAAATGTAAAAACCAAGTGATTTAAATACAAAAAACAGGTATTAATACAGTAATTCAAATTTATCAAACAATAATTGGAAGTAATGGAATAAACTTAGGCAATCATGATATAAGCAATGGTATGATTTTTAATTGTGATAATCAAAGTGCTATAAAGCTAAGTTTGAATGAGCGTTATCGTGCAAGTCAGAGTGGATTAAAATTTGAATGTGCACTTAATGCTTAGACAGCAAATTGTGCTGTATATAAAGTTGAGAAAATTAATTAAAGTTTGGCTTACTTAGAATAAACAGTAACATAAAGTTTGTTTCTGCTAAGATATTAAAGTAAAAAGAACAATTAATTGAAAAAATAAGTTTAAATAATTTTCTTAAATATGGTGGTTCTCTCAAAAATTAATCTTTAAGCATTTTTTTGTACTTTGAACAAAACTCTTGCACTTTAAGAAAGACAGAAATAAACAATTTCCTTCACTTATATTTCAACTGTAAACCAAAAACACATATTTTTTACTTTGTAAACAATCAGCCGATGCACAACTGTTACCCATTTATGCATAAAAATGCCCATTCCATAATTCATTTTTAATAATCAGTAAAAGCAACAATTGGATTAGAACAATAAAGACATATTAAGACTACATATACTTGAGTAATTACTGTTTAAATTACATGTATTTGGTAAATTGGGATGGGCAGTCGTATAGTAGCTGAATCAGAATGGCTTGAATTTAATAGTATTGCAGGATGTGGCTATTGAAAAAGCTAATCAAATTTAATATTTAGTTGAAATCGTTCACGAAAAATTGAGTTTCAATTTGAACTCTGAAAATGTATTAAAAAAACTTAACAAGAAACAGAGGTTCATTAGAAGACAAGGGAGTAAATGGATGAGAACAGTAAAATTGTGTTCTACAAATCAATAGTCCAGCCTAATCTTGACTATTTTTGTTGAATAAGTTACATCAACACTCACACCAACAACATCAGCAACCAACAAACATCCATACAGCATTGAGCTTTATTAATTCAAAATAATGAAAAATTCAAATTGAAAATCAGAAAACCAAAAATAAGTGAAAATCAATCAGTCGTGACAAATCATTACTGATTAGAAAAAAATTAAATTTAAAATTAAATATATTAAGAAAATCCTTACGATTTAGTCCTTTTCAGGCCAGCTGGAATCTTGGACCAAAATAAACAGAACGCAGCAATCCCTTTGGATCCTGCGCAAGCTGCTTATAATGCAACTAAAATCCCAGACCCAATAAAAGCCATTAGTCAATACAATTTGAAAAGACTACGCTCCATAGGTGGATCGCAATGGTTGATAGTGTCTTACAAACCTTCCAAGATCTGGCTAATTTGCCGGTCTACCAAATTTATCAACAAATTATTAGAGACAAAATTGTCGACGAAGCCGACCAGGCCCTTATTGCCAAAATCGTCCCAGTTGTGTGGAATGAAATCAAAGATTGTCTTATCCTTTATTTCGGAGATAATCGAGAAATTTCCACCATTACGCAAAAGATCTCGTATTTAAATCAGTGAGATAAAAATTTGGACCAGTTTTATCACGAAGCCAATGCACTCGTGACAGACATTGACAGCCAAAAAATATCCTTAGATCCACAAAATGTTGGTCATGTTCCAGCTATAATGCGAGTCTTAGAACCAATAATCATGACAGGTTTTATAGACGGCCTTAACGACAATCTATATAATCTGGTTAGAAGCCACCAGCCACAATCCATGGTCGTACAGGCTTATCACAGAAATCGTGAGAGGTTTGCCAGAATTCACGCAAATAACGCAAATAATTTAAATAAGTTTTCCAGTAAAAAATTTCAGAAGAATCCTTAACTTCAATATGTCTGATAAAAGATAATTAGTCACGATTGAAAAAGCTTTTTAGGTGCAAATTGAATAAAAAAATAATAAAGCAAACGAGCTAAATAAGGTTTTTCCAATTCATCAATTCCACAAAATCTATGTTCAAACAAAAATATTACATACCATCCAACGGATTTGTGAGACGAATTTTGCGAAAACATTGTCAATTTTGCAAACATTTCAAAGCTTAAACAATACTGCCACTTATGGGTGACCTTCCACAAGACCGACTAGCTATACATCAAAGAGCTTTTACATTTTCAATGGTGGATTTGGCTGGACCATATTTAATATAGGTTCATCGACAGTTATATGCCAAGCGATGGATTCTGGTCTATACCTGCTTGACAACCAGAGCAGTACAACTGGAGCCAGTAGAGAATCTCACATCAGATGCAACACTAATTGCACTTCAAAACGTTTTAGATGTTCGTGGTATTCCGAAACGAATCACTAGCGATCAAGGCACAAATTTCATAGGTGCTAACAAGATGTTACACAAAGCTATAGAAGATTGGAACAAAAACTGTATCGTCACTAAAATTGACTGGTACTTTCACCCAGAAAAATCCTCGTCTATGAATGGAGCCGTGGAAAGAATCGTTGGATTAACAAAAACACTAATTAAAAAACTCGAACAGCAACATGAAATCGATATGAAAAATGTTACTGATTATGCATTCAAAAATATGTTAATTAATATAGCGAATATGCCAAATAATCGTCCATTGTGTGCTTTACCAATGAACTAAGAAGTTACAGAAGTTTTAACTCTCAACCATTTTTTCAAAAATAAAAATAAATCATCAAATAATATCAATCATCAAAATCACCAGAAAAGCAGATCTAAACAAGTGGAAGGAAGTGCAAGAGTACATGGCGCATTCATTTGGAAAAAGTTCAATAAATTTTATTTGCCCAAGATTCAAGACAGAAAGAAATGGCGGATCATAGCCTCACCATTGAATGTTGGAGACATAGTAGTAGCAGATAATAACCTTCAAAGTTCATGGCGAATGGGGAGAATTATCAAAGTACTCCAGGGATCCAATGATTAATGCGCAATCATAATTTAGTATATAAGACACAAATAATTGATAATAATAAAATCGTTAAGTTCAATATTATACAAAATAATATTGAATTATTCTTATAAAGCTATAATGACATCGGATAAACAACAATAGCGATATCTGACGGAAACATAAAAACAATAATAATTAAAAGTAGTAAAAGAAGAAATAAACAGAGTTGATTTATAGTTCAACGAAATTTAATTAATTAAGTTCTATTACAGATCTTATAATTTATTGTCATAGTTTCATAGTGCTGAAACAGCGATAATAAAATTAGCTGATAATATTGTGAAAAATAATGAGAATGGGTTTATAACTGTTTTTAGATTTCAAAAGAACTTTTGATACAGTTAATAGGGAGAATTTGATTTGAGAGCTATTACGCTAATAAGCGACAGACAGTGAAAATAAAACGATTCAGTAATTTCAAAAACATTGATTACTTTGTACATTAGCGACAAGTGGTGGACTGTGATGTTCTAATGTATGCTAATGATACATTGCTCAGCATATCAGCCAAAACATACTTTGATGCCATTAATAAGATGTATTATGATTTGATAAGATTATCTGATTGGTTAAAGTTTAACAAAATTGCTCTGAATTCTTAAAATCATAAATCATTTGTGTATCTTGCTAATGAGGAATATAACCAGATAATTAAATTTATTCATGGAAATAAACTTAGCATGAGAAACTTTATAAAAAATGTAATAAAATTTTACCAGAAATAAAGTCAAAATAGCGCTGATTTGTATAAAAGATCAAAGCACAAAAGATTCATCTTGTGGTACTGGGGGTCCTCGATTCGAGTAGGTTTTTTGTTCCAAAAAAATCCTATTAAAGTTAAATCTACTCAAATCAAATCTACTTAAATCAAGGACCCTGTTAATAAACGATATTAACATATTTATTTATCAATGATTTAAACTATTTTATTTCATAATTTATTGAAATGCATGATTTTAGAATGACGTTATGTTAAAATTGAATAAATTTTCATTCATCATTGCAGTACCGTGTGCATATTCCTTTGTAAGTCCTTGAAGCCATTAGTATAAAATAAGATACCATAGTATGAATAAATTGGTCTATTTTTTAATATCAATAGATCAAGAACTTCTTGCTTAAAATATTTACCAACTTCACCAATTGCAGTTGTGCAACAGACCCATAGTTTAGAAATTGAGCAAACAATTCTTAGAAAATTGTAAAAGAAAAAGTTTCAAAAGAATGAATTTTTGAAGAAAAAAATTATAAAATATAATAAATGAAAAAATAACTTTATCGACTGCTGAAGCGACAACACGAAAATTCAACATTACATTAAACTTTTTGAATGGTTGAACTATTTTCAAGATTTATAGGATCTACAAAAGAGCTCTAAAGAAACGCTTTGTACCTTAACTATACGACAATGCTGACAAGATTAACAAAAATTATATTAAATTACTTTTAGGTTATTGTCTAGAGCTCGAAGTCGATTTGAGTCGACTCAAGTCAACTTCTTCAGACAAAAAAAATTAACGAGTTGACGCGAAGTCGAATTATCTCAAGTCGACTCGGAGTTGACTCCAGAAAAATGAAGTCAACTCTAGTTGAATCGAGTTGACTCGAAAAAGCTGAAATTGACTCGAGAAAAGTTGAGTCAACTCGGCTTTGAGTCGAGTCGAGTCAACTCGAACCCTATCGACTTCGAGCTCTGTTATTGTCTCATTTTTCTGAAGGACTCTAGTTAAAATGAATTTATCAAAAATTTAACAAAACTAGCGAAAGGACGAATAGGCTTATTTATTTAAAAAGCTACCCTTTTAGTAGCCAGGAAAAAAGCAACAGCATCTCTTTGACCAAATATTGTAATTAGTAGAATAATCCAGCAGTACACGAACTTTTTTGTGCCACAGCATGCCTTGCTAGTGACCAAAACCGCACACGACATATAGTTCGTGAGAATTCTCAAAATTTTTTCGAGGTACTATAGTGTGCTGCGACACATGAGTTGGCTACCACTGGATTAATCAATGTTGATAAAATATCAAGAAAAGATAAACAATCCAGGACCAGGAAGACTATCTCATGCTTTAGATGCTTTTTTAATTTATAATTTTAAAATATTTTCATCACTTGTAATTATTTCATTTCAAATGTAAGTAAATATTCCATTAAAAGATGATAATTACTATAGTTTTAAAAATCAGTTGAATAATCAATGATAATTAAAAATAAAAATATTCAACTTACTGCCATTTCGTTTAATTTCTAAATTAACATTTTTTTCTCAATTTTAAAAGGATTTTAGATTTCAATTAAATTTTTTTCAAAAAAATTCTGAACTTAATATTGCTTCTCCTTAAATCTATGTTTTTTCTTCTAATTTAAAAAATTAATAAATTTTATGCTACATACATCTTTAATGTCCTCCATTTGATGTGATTTGTGGTTATAATGGATGTGATTCGATAGCTGGATGGTACCCTAAAATAATAAAATATACAAAACTGTTACTTAAAATCAAGCATTTAAAAGAAAAACTTAATTGTGTGAGTATTTGAAATTTAATGGAAATTAAAAATAATTTTATTTATCTCATCTTACCGAATAATTTTTGTGAACCATTGAATCTAGCAACAATTTAGTAAATAGAAGAGAATGTGGCTGCTCCCATTAAAAATCTGGTGAAAAAAGAAAATTTTTAATCCATAATCATTCATAAATAATTAAACAAATAATGTTAAAAACTTACCAACTTTTTCAGATGCAAAACAAACGTGGTCATTTCTTTAGTTTTCAATATTATAGAGTACCAATGACTTTATGAGTTGATATTAATCATAAAATTCACCAAAATTGAAAATTTGGTGTGAATACGATTTACATAGTTTGTGTTTGCTTCAAACATTTTTTTGATCGTTTCTCAAATGTTGACCGCTTTAAGAAATATGAGACATATTGAATTACATTTTGCGATGTTGCTTCGATGTGGCTCATAATATGCTTCTTTTATTTGAAAGTATGATGATGATAAGAATGTTTTGAAGTTCTACAGCTCCAATTACATTCTTTTAGTTTTAAGAATTTTATGAAATTTGATCAAAAATCATCGTCATATAATCTGAAAGGATAATAATAGAATCAGACTTTGAAAATTTACTAAAACAACTCAATTTTGAAATTAGTGCTCGTCAGTTTTAATAATATTACTTCAAAATAAGGGTGTGGTCCTGATGAAATGACCAAAAATTACCAAAAAAAAGGATCAAAAATGATCAAAATTGATCAAAAATTATTAAAATGTAATTTGTCAGTTCCGCACTCTTGCTACAAAACCCTTCATTTTTAATTCAATATTTTTTAAAACAAAAAACTCTTGATTTCATCACATTTTAATTAAAACTTATTCATCAATTTACAATTGGCATAAATGATTATTTTCAATATTTTTTAATGCTTTTATTTCACATATTTAAATAAATTCAGAAGTTAAAAAATTATTGACTTACATTTTGGTTAATGTACAAAACTTATGACACTCAACACTCTTTATAATAATTGACTTGATCTTTTGAGCACTGCAACGACAATGGAAGCACAAAATAAAATTCTCAATAATCTAATTGTAGCACAGCAATACATTTACATTCGTACTTCGGTTGCTTAATTAGTATGTGTGTGCGGAAGAGCTTTTGAGAGATAGTTTTCGTTACTCGTACACAAATACATCTATTTGATAATAGATTCGGAGTCGTGTCAGAATAAGCTTAGATTTATTGCAAAAAAAGTTTAAAATATTTTGTTGGGAGTCCTTAACACCTCCTTCTTTTTGTAGAGAAATCTATAGTTTTATTGCAAATTTCAATTATTTTTCGCACTTTTTTGTATATTTATTGCTGTATTCGGCAATTTTTTTTAACATATTGGACTCATTATGAGTTATAATTTCTGATGATCAAATAGTTTTTGAGATGTTTCTAATTTATCCTGTAAAGTCAAGACGTGGAAAATCAAGATCAATTCTGAAAAACCCCAAAAATTCTAGAAAAATCTTAGACACAAAAAACATGAAAATTTCACATTTTCATATTTACTGGCTCTAGAATTTATCTAGGATTTTTCAGGATTAATCCTTTGTTTCTATGCCTTGCATAAATTTCTTTACTATCAAATGTTCAAGACACGTGTCATTACCGGTAAATGTGGTTTTCATTCCAAAAACTTGTTTTGCTAATTTTATTAATCTTCACGTCACTGGAATCTCTTATGAACATTAAATCTGCAAAACCTTAATTTTAATTCCAAAAACTAATCCAAAACCCTCAAAAAAATCTTTTACTGCTCGGGAATTCAAAAACAATCGAAACTGCATCAATTCTTTTATTTATTTTTTGTCAACCACTGAAACGTCACCAAAACATCTTCTTCAAGGTCGCCACATGATATTTTAACAGAACGTAATTTATACAAGTTGAAGATCAACAAGATCTCTTGATCAGTTAGTTTGTGGACATCAAAGTGTAAAGATCATAGAAAATGTTTTTCAAAGTTTTAATTTTATCAATTGCAATTTTTTCAATTTCTCTGTGCCTCGACGAGAATGAAGCAGGAACAACTCACAAATGCAGGAATCGCCGTGCAGATTTCAAAATTTTCGACAAAAGTTATTTCGTGAATGTCTACTTGCATGACATTAGTCAGCCAGTTTCATGGTCAAAAGCACGAGCAGCATGTCAATCATATTGCACAGACTTAATGTCAATAAATTACGAAGAAGAATTCATTGTCATGAAAGATGTGATGGAGCAGCTGCAACTCGACTATTTTTGGACATCCGGACATGTTTGTGAGCAGGATCAATGTAATGATGAGTCGTATCCAATAAATATAAATGGATGGCTATGGTTAGACTCAAATGAACGAATTCCACCGACTAATGAAACAGCACCTGGATGGACTTTTAATCCTTGGTCACAGACCGGTTTTAGAAAAGTTCCACAACCTGATAATGCTGAATTAAGAGTAACAAATAGAAATGAGTCATGCCTTGCTATTTTACATAATGTCTATAATGATGGCATCAAGTTCCATGATGTTGCTTGTTATCATGAAAAAGATTTTATTTGTGAATATTACACTGATGATGAATACTAATTGAAGTTTATGGATAGATGTTCAAATAATTTAAGTATCTACTTTTAAGCATTTTTGACTGATAATGTGAATGATTATACATGTACGGTATCATACAGGAAGAATAAATTTAGCATCTAATTTGAATTGTAAATTTTTTTTCGAATGTTCTAGAAGTGAAGTAAATAAATTAAATATTTAATAAGAGAATTGAATGATGTCAAATGATTAAATGTTAAAAATCAAGAGGATGTTTTTGAGTTTTAATTTCACCATTAAAAAAATGTTAAAGGTTGTTCAACATTCCAAGAATATTCCAAGAATGAGATGAGTCATCGGTTTTAGCATTTCGTGGAACATTTGGACCATTTTCAAAACTTTGTTTTGATTGTAAATTTAAATTGCAATATTGATGAGAATATTAAGCTTGCTGGCTATCAGAATCAAGGGTTTGGACGATATTTGACTGAAAAAAAAGCTAGATGATAAACCCCAGTCAATTCATTTCAACTAAGCATCTGGTAAGAATAAGTAAGATTTTACAATAAAGGTTGTTCCTGTAACAGACATTTTAGTATTGAATGTAGGTAAGATGTAGTTTTAATAAATATAAATACATTTGGCTACTCTTTATTTTTTAAAAAATTAGCAGTTTTTACAACAATTTTAATTAAATTATTCACAAAGATTCAAAAGACTATAACAAATAACCACAGATTATAAAACACTGAGCCAATATTTTACAAGATCCTCATCATGTGACTGTATTTCTAAAACCTTCTTCAACTTCGCTATATCATCATGATGATGGTGATGATGTGACAGACAAATAATCTTGTTCTTCCATTCCTCGACTAAAGCTTGAACGTACTTATGCATTGTGTGATTTGTAAACAGCTTCTCATCCACAGCATAAAGAATTTTATTCATTAAAGTTGGAAGCTTCGATGGTAATTCCATTGGATATTTTATAAATGTAGGCACATCAAGTTCATCCATAAAGTCAATACGACAGACATTATTTTGAGGTATAAAAATGTCAGTTGAGGGCAAAGAAAGGATTCTACATTTTTGGATGTTGGTGTACTTTGGAGACTCGACAATTAAGTGATGAAATGCTTGTGGCATGAATTCCTTAAAATATTTATAAAAATCGTTGTTTTTACCACGAATTACAATTTGGACACCAACAAGACAGCAGTACAGAAGTTGATTAAATGACAATTTGCTGATTTGCTTCAAGTTTCTCAAATTGTATTCACCGTCGTAAATTGCACTGTCGCCAATTCCTGATGGGAAGTTTTGCATCATAAACTCCTCTTTATCAATGCTAATAAATGCAAATCCGTCTGGCGAATCTTTACAAAATGATGGCATTGAAGGACTTCCAAGAGTTAATACTTCTGTAAAATACCTTGCACCAGCCCATAAAATCCATGAAAATAATGAATGCAGTTGTGCAAAGATGTGCTGCTCGCCAACTAGATCTTTAAGTGATCTTGATGGTAAATCTGACAATTTTCCGGTATTCAACCTTTCAGCCCGCTGTGAAAATTGCTTTTGTTCAGTTTCATATACTTTTAATGCACTTTCCTGGATTTGCTTTGCGATTTCTTTGATATTTTGAGCTAAAAATGGCTGCGAATTGAGCAAGAACATTTTATCTTTCATTAAGATGACTATTGAGTAGAGTTTCTCGAAGCCTCGGGCATATGAGTCTTTAATTTTGAACGAGTAGCACAATGAGTTGATTCTGGAGTCACCGAAAAACACAAGGTTCTCATCTTTGTTTGAGGATATCTGGAAAATTGTAGAATATTTTAAATTAATTAGAAATCTTAAATTTTAGCTGAAATTGTTGATTTTGTTGGAATAATAAATATTGAATTTTTTTATGGTAAACCCGAATGGCACAAGTCGGTTAATTAATCAGAAATCTCGCACTAAGCTGGTGGGACTCTGGCATGGTGCTGGATTTTAATCGAAGCCAGCACCATGTCAGAGTCATTCCGGCTAGGCACCGGATTTCTATTCGATTAACCAACTTGTGCCATTCGGGAAAGGATACATGAGTACTAAAGTTATCCTTCCACTTTCTTGGTTTTTCGATCTCCTGGCTAATATAACTGTTGCTTCAAAATTTCTAGACCACCCCCCTTTAACTCCCTAAAGTCGACACGAGTCGATTCGAACTCTATCGACTTCGAGCTCTGGTTTGTACAACACTGCCCTAAACCAAGCAAATCCGGGTGTGATTCATTAGCAGGCCTTAATTTGAGCACTTTACTGTGAGAAATTGCTGGTCGCTGGTTTCTATTAAAGACTTAACAGGTTATCAAAGTATCAGGACTATAATTGTTAATTGAATACCCCCCATAAAATTACACATAAATTATTCAAAACATTCAAAACAATTCTGAAAAAGAAAAAATATTTCAAAAAAGTCACAGCATCAAATGCCAAAACACATGACTTAATGACATCATACTGAATCTTCTAAAATAAACAACAACAACAACAACTAAGTCAACAAACTCGTCTCACCTCACACAAAGATCTTAGTGCCGCCTGCTTTAATGCATTCTGATGTTCCTTCCCAAACAGACTCTTTTCACTGCTCACAAACATAATCGAGTTATCTTCACTAACGAAAAACAATTTACTTCCTATTGAGCTGCACGATTCGCAATTTAATATATTTTGACTAGAACTTTCATTTGACGATGTAGTTTGGATATAAGATTTATCTCGAATTGTTTGTGTTGTAAAAATTGTTTGAGGTCCATGTACTTCACAAAAGTGATTTAAATTTATGATGGCATTCATTGAGTAGATTTAAATTTTGTAAAAATGATTTTTTTTTTTCTCTTTTAATAATAAAAACAAATGAACAAAATAATTATTTTGGATGTGCAGCTGCAGCACAGCTTGAAGATCGAGTTGTTTAAAGTTTGAAATTTTTCGGAACGTTTATTTTCATTGGCATTTTTTCAGAATATCTGATGGCTGTTTCGGTAGCGTAAATAAATCGATCGAATCTATTCCCAATTATGTTAAATTCGATTCAATTGAATTTGTTTCTCATAAAAATTTGCCAGAGTTACCACCTAAGTTATTTATTATTGTTCATGTTTGATTATTGAAACACGGAACTTTAAAAGCAACTAAACTAGAGCTTGTGGGTAACAAGAAGCAAGTCAAGAAACAAACTGCTGTCAACTTTTAAGCTCTTAGCAGTTCTCAAGATGTGTCTTTTTTAAATAAAAAATTTTTTTTACATTTTATACGATAAAAACTTTCATCATAGTAACAACTAGTGCCACTAGCTGTTATCTACTCGAGCTATCGAGCTGGAAATGAATTTCGTTTTGTATTTATTTTGATAAAAAATTATAAAAATATATTTAAAAAAATCAAATTTATGAGTGTACGTTTCAGTAATGAATCCGTAAAAAATGGAAAACTTGAAATGTTTAAGGTTTTGAAAACTTTGACGTCATTTTCCTTTGGCTTTCTTATCATCTTGTTTTTTCTTTGAATCTTTTGTTTTATCGTTTTTATTGCCATATTTCTCTCTAGCTTCCTTGTTCTTAGCGTCAGCATCTTTCTAATTGTTGTCCTTATTAAATTCACGGCTTTGATCGCGTCCAAAATCAGACATTATAGCTTTTATTCTTTAACTAAAAGTGTTAAAATTGTTTTCATTAATATTTGATTCATTTTATTAAATTTATGATTTGAAACAATGAAAAACAAATCACAAATTGATATCAAAGGTGGATATGCTCACCAGAAAACAAATGTTAGAAGATTAATGCAAAAAGAATTAAAATATGTTTTTTTACAACCAATATTTTGGTTTTATAACATGTTATCGCAAGCAGAGTTGGCTCATTACAAATGTGAAGGCACCATGCTAAACAATCTCGTTAGTGAAAGTAAAAAGTTAAAATTATTTTTTTTTCGCAATTATCATAATCATAAAACATATTGCAAAATCTTCCTCAATGTTAATTCGCAATCTCAAAAACAATAAATTGTCAACATAAAAAAGTTTCAAAAAAAAAACAATAACAATTGAGATTAAAGTGTCAGTAAACTCAAATAAAACGAGATTCGCATAAAATTATTAATTAGTAAATAAACAGTTTTCAACCAGTAAACATCAACAAAAGTTAGAATCAAAACTTCTAATCAACCAGTTAACATCGAATAAGAAAAATGAAAGTTTCAACAATGAAGAATCTACAACCAGTCAGCATCAACAAAACGATTGCACAACTAATTGAGTTTGTTTTAAGCTCAAACGTAAACAACGCAAACTTGCTGAATGAAATTGGAATCATCAAACGAGAATTTGAAGCTCACAACATGACATTCAACAGCACGTTTTTCAAGGAGGCCATAATAAAATCTGTGGAAGGAGAATCTGGAATTTACAGTGAGATCAAAAATGAAGTTAAGGACAAATGTCCATCATTGATGATCGAATCAGCATCAAGACATGGGAACCTCGTCTTCTTAGTAATCCTCAGTTACTCATTGGAAGAGAAGCTAGTAAAACGAACCATCGGATTTATTTCTCAAAACCAGCAGCAGACAACAAGGCATCTCGTCTACCAGATTGAACATCTTCTTAGAAAGGTTGGACTGACTCTCGGTAACATATATACAGTATGTACTGACTATGAAGGCGATAATCTCAAAGTTGCTGATTTTATCAATGAAGCACTAGCTGCATTAAAGCTTTGCCGTGGGATTGCCAACATAAATCTGGATCTCAACCAAATGCGAGAAGATGAACGTGAGGATTATCAGATGCTTCTTGAGGAAAAACAAGTCGATCTTGAGGTAATGCAGCAACAACACAGAGTCAAAGTAGAACAACAAAATGAAGAAGCTACAATTGCTGACGCCGTAGCTGAAGAAGGATCTCTGTGTACAAAAATCATCTGTGGTGCACACATCTTTAATATTGCAGTGAAAGAATTCATCAGAGAATATGAACCAGTTATCGCCGAGGTCCGAGATTTGTTAAAAACATCAATACGAGATGAGTTTGTTCAACTTTTTCATGACGCAAAAGTGAAGCTGCATTCATGGGAAGATACCTTCCAAATGATGAGCAACGTTCAACGGTTCAGAACTCAACTTGAGACAATAGCTCTCAATGAAGAGAGGTTAAGACTAAGTGATCATGCTTGGGAATTTATGGACGAATATCTTCAAGTTTTTACTCCAGTTCAGTTAGCGGTGAAGGACTTCCAGAGAGCAGACATCACGATCAGCGATTTCTACATCAGTTGGTTGAAAATGGAGCTTAACATCAGAAGTGTTCCAGATGGTAACGAGCAGTTGAAGACGAAACTACTAGAAGCATTGAAACAGCATAAACAAAAGTTCTTCGAAAGTGATGCCTTCGTAGCTGCACTTCTTTTAGATCCTCGAATTAATTGGTCACAAAATCCAGAAGACTTCTACGGTCCAGCAATGTATGAAAGAGGAATACTGTTGCTGGAAAAAGTTCACCAAGTTATCAACGGTTTACAGATGAACCAAGAAGCAGATGCCAATCAGGAAGCGGAACTTCGTCAACTGCTTGGATGGAAACCTTTACAATTTCAAGGAATTCGTCAAAGCGTCAACAGATTTTTAGCAGAGCCAAGACTACTACCAAGTACACCAATAACTCCACTCAAGTATTGGTACAACAGACGCAATGAGGAGCCAGAAATCTACAGAGTCTCTCAGGTTGTCTACGGTGCTGCTTTCTCACAAGTAAAGAAAGAAAAGGACTTTAAGGGCTTCGCACTCGTTCTTCCATTGTTGAAGATACTTCTTGGAGACGATCATCTCAATGCCATCATAGTTTGTAAGAACAACTTAGAATTATTAGATAAAGTTAAGTTTATTTAAAGTAAAGAGTAGATTTAAAGTACAATAGAACATTTTTTTGAAAATAGAATTAAGTAAAGGTTAAATGTTAAAATTTAAATAAAAATTAACTGAATAAAATATGATATATAATATAAGAAAACAATTTGTTGATAGTTTTTTTTGAATATTTTTTTTTTCATGATTTTGATTTATTTTTGAACCGTGACTCTAACAACACCACTGTCTTAAATTTTTATTTGTTATTTCACTGGCAACCTTCTGTAGTCAGCACATTTTGAATTGAAGTTTTCAAATATTTATCGTGCAAAAGTTGAATGGAATATAGAAAATTCTCAGTCTTCAGAAAGTATTCAACATGAACACACTTTTAAGCTGCATGTAGCTAAAACATAAAAATTTAAGCAAACAAACAAATTTTAACAAGAACACTCATTCTAAAACGACGACGACACACACCTAATAATGGCAAATAGTTTAATAGTTTCGATAATTTTCATTGCGTTTATATTAAATTTCTTTAATGCTGAAATCATTATAGATGATTCTGCAACTCCATTGTCACTTGGTGGAGAATATATTATAGAAGGAGAAGCACCATGGCTGAGTCCAATCTATAACATTCATGAATATTTATGTGGAAGTTCTTTAATAAACAATCAATTTGTTTTGACAGGTAAAAGTCTTGAAAGAATAAGTTTAAGGAGGTGTATTAAAACCAAATTGTCGGTATTTAATATTGTGCTTTTATATTTTCAGCGGCCCACTGCATTCATTCAAAGAATAACGATCCCATTCCGATAGAAAATTTTATTATTTACACTGGAGCTTATGACTTAGACACAAGATTTGAAGCAAATGTTCAAAAATTCTTAGCAAAATCCATCAAACTTCATCCATCTTGGAATGCAGACTCAGAAAGGTTTGATGGTGACATTGCATTAATAAAATTGTCAGGAATTGTAACATTTTCTGATTTCGTCCGGAATATCTTGCTTCCAACAGTGCCATATGTTAAAACGGATGAAAATGGATTTATTGTTGGATATGGAATATCAGAAACTAGACCTGATCATGAAGTGAAACCAAAAAGAATCAAAATTCCGATTGTTAGTGAAAATGATTGCTTTAATAATCATCGTAAATTCCTATCGACTTTATCTTGTGACACATTTTGTGCTGGAAAGAAGGGAGTTGCGACTTGTAAGTTAAATTTCTTTTGGAACTTTAAATTAAATTTCTTGATTATTTATTTTCTTATTTTTCAGGCCCAGGAGATTCAGGAAGCAGTTTTTATGTTATCAAAAATTCATCACCTGTCCTGATTGGAGTTGTGTCAAGTGGCATAAAAAGAGTGAGAGTCCCATGCAAAATTGAGAACTACGCATTGTTTACTGATGTTTTCAAATTTACTGATTGGATTGATTCAACAATCAAAAGTGAAAATTAGTGCTGATGTAGCCACTTTAGGATGATATGCATTGGGTTCTGGTCAAGCAGGGGCGTAGCCAGAAAATTTTTAAGGGGAGGGCCCATTTTCGAAAATTAAAAAACCGTTATTTTGTATCCTTAAATCTATATTCATTCTTCATAAGTTTAAACATTTAATTCATTATTCATACATTAAATATAATTTTTCGTGCTGATTTTGACATTTCTTTCATCACTTCCTCTACATTAACTGGTTCTTCTCTATATATACTTAATAAAACAATTATCAGATTTTCGGAGGGCCCCCCCCCCCTCCTGTCTACGCCCCTGTGGTCGAGGTTCATCCGAGGTTGTGGTTTCTCGTGTTTACCTCGGATGTGTCACAAAACAAAAAATATCTTCAACTTTGTAAACACATAATATTTTGACATGGTAGGTAGCTAAAAAATATGAATCAAATCTCAAGTTATGTATATAAATTTCAAAAAAAAAAGGTTTAAGACACTTCTAGTAATAAATCCATGTTCATTGGAGATTAAACTTAATAAAAGAAAAGATGGTAAAATTAATTTTTTATGGAAATATTTTAATACCATTTCTGTCAAATATTTACAGCCAATCTCAAAATATTGGAGATTCTTCAAATCCATTATCATTTGGTGGAAATTATACTAGCTTTGGTGAATGTCCATGGCTTTGTTCAATTTATAATAAATTAGAATATTTGTGTGGAAGCTCATTGGTGACCAATCAGTATGTTGTGACTGGTAAGGGTTAATTTTTTTATCAGCACTGTGCTATGCAGGAAATATCAGCCAAGAAGGTTAGCTTCAAGCTCTGATTTGGCTAGATTATCTGAGATTTTAAAGATACTCACTTATGTCATAGTTGACATGAGTCAGGTGTGAAGCAATCACCTTTGAGCTCTGATTATAGCGCATAACCCTGATTAGCCACTTAGGCTAGATATTCTGAGGAAAGGAATTGGTTCAAAATTTAATGAATTTAATCCAAGACTCGCCTCAAAATTACAAAAAAACTTGTCCAATTGCATTAATACTTTTCTTTCAGCCGCTCATTGTGTGCTCAAAAAAGAGAGCACGTTTACCATTCCAGCAAAGTATATAAGTATTTATGCAGGAGTTTATGACCTAAATGATTTGTTTCAAGATTCTGTCGAAATAATTCAAGCTCAGGAAGTAAAAATTCATCCGAATTGGGACACATCTAGTGAACGATATGATGCAGATATTGCATTGATTAAAATGTCTACAGTTGTTCATTTCTCGGATTACATTCAAAAAATTCCATTACCAGCAGTTTCGTTTATTAATGAGAACCAGAAAGGATTTGTTGTTGGTTACGGAGTTTCTGAAGTGAATAGTTTTCATGAAAATAAACCTAGAAAGATTAAAATTCCAATAGCTGATGTCGAAGGATGTTATCAAAATCATGGAGTTTTTTCATTTATAAAGTCACGTGATAGCTTTTGTGCTGGTAAAGTTGGTGTTGTTCCATGTAAGTAGTCTTTGAAACTAGGTGCAGGACTGTTCACTTACAGCTTCAATTTTAATAACCTAATTATATCAAATCTAATAATTACAGGCAATGGAGATTCTGGAAGTAGCTTTTATCACATTGAAAACTCATCGCCGATTTTATTAGGCATTGTTTCGGTCGGTATTCAAGATGGGAACAAGAAATGTAAAAATAACACATATGTTCTCTTTACTGATGTCTTCAAGTTTGTTGACTGGATAAAGAAAGAAGTTGGAAGTGGATATTTGATAGCAAATAAAAAAAATTCATCTATAAATTGGAAGCCAAATGATGCATTTTGTGAATATGTCAATGAAAACGGGTGAGTTTATTCAATTTTCTACCTTTAAAAATTGTTTAATAAGTTTTTTGTTATTTTATGAAGCTATCGATGTACATTACGAGGTGTTCGGTCACAGCAGAATGACATAAAAATAACAGGAGTACATGGAACACACATGGAAGACCAAAGTGATAATGATGTAGTGAAAATTTGGATTATTGAACAAGAAGCAAAATTTATTCCAGAAATGAGTAATGTTGTTGAAAAGTTTAAAAATATTCATGACTTAAGGATATGGACATGTGGACTGAAATTCATCGAACGATCAAAATTGTCAATTTTTGCTCAAAAACTTCGAGTCTTGGACTTTTTCAACAACTACATCGAAGAAATCCCTCAAAATGCTTTTGACGACCTTTTGCGACTTGAAGAGCTGAAAATTTTAAACAATCGAATCAAGCATTTGCCAGAAAATCTCTTCTATAACCTCAAAAATTTTAAATATTTTTTCGCTGAAAATAATGAAATTGAAGAACTTCCAGCAAGACTTTTTAATGAAACTCAAATTATTGTTGTTAGCATGAAAAATAATAATTTGATGAACATTTCTGTAGACTTTCAAAATCTTAAAAATGTTAAAGTCATCGATTTAGAACAAAATACTTGCATTAGTCAATGCCTTGGTTTTTATTGTGGAAGAATGTCTGTTGATGAAATGCAACAAGAAATTCAACAAAAATGTCAAAAAATCTACTCAATAGGTGCATAACAATCAGGGGTGCAACTAAGTGGGTGTATCATGTTCAAGCGTTTATAATAATGACGACTATTGTGAACTCTTCTCTCAAAATATAATAAATGAGAATTAAAAACAAAAATGAGAATAAGTTGCGAAAATGAGAGAATATAAATAATGCAGTAAATAAAAGGCTTTATCCATATTTATTTACTATTATAATCTTATAAAGTTTAGAGGTAAAATTTAAATTTAATAAAAAATGTTTTAGTTTCTAACGTGGTTTTACTCTTAAGGCATTAATATGTAAGATTTAAACCTAAATCTCAAAAAAGTTTATTAAGACAATAAAAGTTCAACATTATTTAATTCATATTGTTTAGTTCATTACGATCATCAAGTGACATTAATCATAAAAATTCGCATCGGCAGCACTTTCTACACATTTAACCAGAATGTCGTCCAGCAACACAGAAATTGAAGAATCTTCAGCAATATCAAGTCCAAGTCAACATCCTAAACATCAGCAACTTCAAAATCTACCATCAAACTCAAGTCCAGTTATATCCATACAAAGTCCTCAATCACAAATCTACAGTCCAATTTATCAAGGAAATGGATCTCCATATATGAGTCCAAAGCAACAAACTCAACAACCTGGATTTCCTCCAGACTACACTAAACAAGCAGTTCAATTTAATTATTTTCATCAACATCATGATACCGAACACAAAATTATAGCTGATGATTTAAAGAACTTCCGTGTAGCTTTCACATCTGAAAATAAAGATGACAAGCTAATCAAGTCAATTGACTTTTGTGCCAGTGGAATGGCTGGATTGTTTAATACAAAAGACATTATAAAGTTTGTCTGGCTTGATCCAGAATATCCTCAAGAGCATGCTTTTAAAGTTTCGAAATATGGATCTGGAGTTTGCAGGTTCCTTAATCCATATGACAGAATCATTCACACGTCCACAAAAGTTGATGATTTTGTAAGATTGTTTAATGTTGGAAAGAATGGATATGATATATACTTTAAAGGACACAGTGCAGAAGTAACTGGACTAGAAGCATTTCCAGTATGGAATAACAATTTTGTGTCAGCATCAAAAGACAATACTATTAAATATTGGGACATCAGACAAGAAAATTGTGTAAAATCGATAAATATTAATAAATGTCCATTAATTGCATGTCATCCAAAAGATCTGCAAGTTTCTGTTGCTTATGCCTCTGACAAGTCAACTTGTGTCATTGAAATTTATGATCTTCGTAAATTGGAAACTGATGATCCAGTAACAAAGTTTTATTTTGATGATCAGGAATTTGAGTGGAAGGTTTTGAAATTTTCAAATAATGGAAAATATTTGATGATCAATACTAGCAGTGCATTGACTTTAATGATTGATGTGGCAACAGGCAAGATGTGCAATCGACTTTATGGTAAGTTGAGATGTTATTGTTGATTTTAAATTATTTCCCTTTAAATTGATGATCTGTATAGTAAATGTCTAAGTGGTGAAATGGCATCGGTGACCTAAAAGGTAGAGCGTTGGCCCTTCGAGCCAAAACCCTTGGTTGAATCCCAACTCTTGTCTAATATTCGAAGCTATTTTTATAAATTGAATCGCAGTGCCTCCAGCTCAAAAGGCTCGGCCCTTCACACATTTTTATTATTATTACTATTGTATAGTAAATGTCTAGTATTGAGCTGGTTTGAATCATCTAGTTTGTTTGATTTATTTCATAGATTACTGTGCTACTCGATCATCATGATCTTAGTCCTGATATCTAGTTTCATCTCTTTTATAGAATGCCTTAAATGAGTTTCTGTAATTTAATATCCTTATTATTCCAGGTTACAACAACAAACTCAGTCTACCTATAGAGACATGCTTCACGCCAGATTCAAAGTTTGTCCTTGGTGGGAGTCAGGATGGAAAAGTTCATATTTGGAATTTGGAAACGCATGATAAGATCATTCTAGACAAGCCAACTAAAGGATCTACAAATAAAATAATTTTTAATCCAGCATTTATGTGCTTTGCGACAGCTGGAGAGAAATTTCATTTGTGGATTGAGAAGCAATAGGTATTTTGATTAGTAAGGGTTAAACCCAAAAGTTCGAATAATCAGATATTTATCAGTAAATAGCACAGATTTCCCTCTTTTATCGAGGATAGTAGATCTGTGACGCAAGTTAAGTCACAATCGAGAGTCAAAATCGGTAAATAAAGTCACAATCGATAGACAAAGTCGAAAATATAAAGTCACAATTTAGGTTACTGACACAATTTATGGAAATGTCACTATTTATAGTTTAACTTGCGGTTTTTTAAGACTTAATTGAATTAACGCTTATTGCACACTTAAACAATATAATTAAACACAATTTTATTCTTAGTACTATCGAAAACTTATTAATTTATTTAATTTATTCAAAATGTATGTGTTGTGTGTTTATTGACTTGATATGAGACTCCCTTTTTAAGCTCCGCTTCACTTTCAAAGCTTCGCTACTCTCTCTACAATATATATTCATAAATAGACACTTAGCTGCATGAATTGTGTTTTTTATTGCATTGATTTGTGTCCAATTTGAAGTTCATATCAGATTTTAACGATTTTGTCATTAAAATGCATAAAGAAAGTACCGTAAATAATTGAAAAATTTAGGATGAATTCTAGCATCAAAACGTTTAAACTAGTTTCACCAAACAATTATTAAAGCGAAATAAATCTCTTGATATTATACAAAATGACAATCACGATAACAACAACACTAAATGAAGCAAAAGTGACTCCAAATGTCACCCAAATGCTCGTTTTTTCTCGCACATTTCTTTTGTACTCCTCACGTGGTCGAGCAACAATAACTTCAGGATAATTTTGACAAAATTCATTGATCTTGTCCATCCAGTCAGCCATATGTAATTTCGATTCTGTCACGTTTTTCAGACATTCATTTTTATTAAGAATGAGAACTTCTAAAGATATCAAGTTTTTGAAAATATTTCGATCAATTTTAGTCAATTTGTTGCTTTGTAAATTGATTACTTTGATATTTTGATTATACATGAAAGCATCTCCATCAAGATGCTTCAAATAATTTTCATTGAGCCACAAATACTCGAGTTTGTTATAAGGCTGCAGGTCTTGTTTCCTCAACATAATCAATCTGCATTGGACAAAGCTTAATCCTTTCACATTTCTTGTCACTGGTGTAAAATCAGGAATGAAATTGACAGTTCTTAAATAAGCATGTACAGCACTAACATCAGCTGATGTCTTGCCAGTTTCGTGATTTCCATTCATTGCACTTATTCCAATGTGACGTTCAGTTACAATTAAGTTACTGATTATAGCACAAGCCCGGGTGGACACAGCCAGTTAAAGTCCATTATTGGACAATCATTTAACAGTCTTTTAACTTGTCGAAATATATACGATATAGAGAACTATACGTTAACTAGACTTTAACTGGACATTCATGCTAATCAATCAAGTGTTCGAAACTCAAAAATAATTTTCCTTACTTTTTTGACCATATACTTCACAAGCGCTTACAGAAATCACTTATATAAGGTCCACCAAAATTTGTATGAAACTTTTAAGTAAATATAATTGTTTCACGCGCAAGTGTTCGAGACTCAATTTTTACTAGAGATTTTTCATAAGTGATAGTGTACTTTAATTAATTAATTACACTAATACAGTAATAAAATTTTACAAAAGAAAAAAATATGGAGAAAAAGACACGTGTTATTTATTTTATTTCGATTTTTTTGTAACTGGACATTAACTAGACATATTTGCAATTCCTATGTCCAGTTAAATGGAAAGCGCAAAATATGTCATTAGTCGTCCCTAAGTCTAGTTGCAAAGGCACGTCAATGGATACTTACTCGCCGTGAAAAGGCAAGTCAATGGCAAGCTTTTAACTAGTACTTTGTCCACTCGGGAAGCATAAACTTCTCCAACTTTCTGCCATTTTTGAGTTTTGAAGTCACAGTCAATGTCGTACATGAGATGATGACTGTGAGAGGAGGAGTAGTTGATGAAAATTGATGTATATAAAGTGATTATGCACAGATTTGACCTTAAAAATTGTGTTACTTTTAATGAATCAACTTTAAAATTTATTTTTCAATTGAGAATCTTACTTTTGCATATTTTGAAAATTTAGAATTAAATTAATGTGTCTAATTTGGAATCTTTAACTTTTTAACTGTTCCAATAGCAGCAAATGTCTATAACTTTGTGTTTTGGCATGTTTTGGCATGTATATGTAGCGTTTATTTTGTGAATATTTTATCTTGTTTTTATTAATAAATCAGAAACATTGTTTTAACTAAGGTGAATTATTGATGTTATTCTGACTCTATTTAAATTTTAAAGAAATAGGTAAGCGATGAAAATGCCTCGTTATCCCACCATGGCCACCCACAGTCTGTAGGACACAGTTATGATATTTTAAGTAAGAAGATAATAATAGAAAATAAAAACCAGATTGACATAACAGCTACCAAAAAAATAATTATTAAATTTTGCCACCAAAAATTTAAACATTTTTTCAATAATAGATTCGATGATGAGATTCGAATGCACTGAAATAAAAGACTTATAGTCAGGAAAGTAATTAGGCAGCAAAACTTTGAAAGGTTACTTACTTTTATTCTTGGTCACGATTGTCCTTTCTACACTCTTTTTTTTAAAAAAAAAATTGAAGTTTTCGTGACAACAAAATTATTTCCAATTGTCATTATAATTTTTTACTTCCAACATGTCAGTCAAACGTTGTGTAGTGAAAATAAATTATCTAATATTTAAATTATTGAAAAGTCCACGTGGAATTTTTATATTAGCATGCTGGACATTTATTTTATTTATTGCTGTTTCTTATCTTATTGTGTCATTTAATAATGATCCATACAAAGTAGATAAGCCTTATATCTACATCGAACCACTTACTTCATATTATAGATTCCAACATGGACAAGTAAAAAGAGATTGGCATGATCTTGTACAAATTGAGAGGGAATCGAAGAGAAGTGGACCTGGTAAGTCTTAATAAAATTTATTTTGAAACTTAAACTTGCAAAGAATATGACAAAATACCTAATAACGACTTATTACTCCATAATTATACTTATTTTCTAGGCGAGCAAGGTCTTGGAGTTGAACTTAAGCCCGAGGAACAAATAGCAGCACAAAAAATATTCCAAGAAAACAAGCACAACGGCTACGTTAGTGACAAAATTGCACGAGATCGTTCTTTACCAGACACACGCCCAGCAGGCTGTAAATCAAAACTATACCTCAGTGAGCTTCCAACAGTTTCTGTAATTATTCCATTTCATAATGAAGTATTGAGTACATTAACGAGAACGATTCATAGCGTGTTCAATAGATCACCACCAGAACTGCTGAAAGAAGTAATTTTAGTCAATGATTACAGTGACAAAGAGCACTGCTATGGACCACTTGAAAAATATATTGCTGAATATTTTGATGTCAATAAAGTCAAATTATTAGTCATGTCAAAGAGAAGTGGACTCATGTGGGCACGACTAGCTGGTGCTCGAGCAGCAGCTGGAGATGTTCTCGTATTTATGGATTGTCATACAGAAGCTAATGTCAATTGGCTCCCACCATTGATCGAGCCAATAGCTTTAAATTACAAAACCTGTGTCTGTCCATACATTGATGTGATTAGTTCAAGCAATTATGCATATGGCTCAGCAGGGAAAGGAACTAGAGGAGTTTTTAACTGGCAATTTTACTATGAATTTTTACCACTCAGACCTGGAGATCAGAAGGATGAAACTGACCCATTTCAGTCACCCGTCATGATGGGATGTGTTTTTGCAATATCAGCAAAATTTTTCTGGGAACTTGGTGGATATGACACTGGTGAGATATTTGTGATTAGTTTAATGGTTTTTATGAATTTTTAACTCTTTAAGGTATGGAGATTTGGGGTGGTGAGCAGTATGAGCTGAGCTTTAAGGTAAAGATTGTGATTTGCTGTGAAACTTTTACTTATTTAAAGAATTTGTAGGTATGGCTGTGTCATGGTGTACAATTAGATGCTCCATGTTCCAGAGTTGGTCATTTATATCGTCCTAGGCCATTTCTTAGTTCTATCAATACCACATACGATTATGCCCATAGGTAGGTTTTTAAAAGACCGCAAATCACGCCTTAAACTTGAGCTCAGCCTTAAAAAAGTGTGGCTTCGCATTTGAATTTATCCCAAACATCCCCGAATATTTAACAAAATTTAATGTTTCCAGAAACTACAAACGTGTCGCAGAGGTTTGGATGGATGAATATGCTCAGAATGTGTATGAAAAGGATCCTGATGAGTGGTACCCACTAGACTTTGGGGATGTGTCGTTTATGAAAAATATCAAACAAAAGTTGAAATGTAAGCCATTTAAATATTTCCTTGAAGTTGTGGCGCCTGACATGCTTGAAAAATTTCCTCCGCATGAACATGATGTCTTTGCCAGTGGAGCTGTGAGTATTAATTATTTTTTACTAGTCGTTAAGCTAATTTGAGCCTAAAGTGTCCTTGTTTTTGGATATTAACTGTTATTTATGTTCTTAAACAGCTCAATAACGACTTATGACTAGCTTAACTAAGATAGAGTTCTTTAGATTAACACAACTTAAGATTCTGTTCTTTAATTCTAGATCCAAAGCGTCGCAAATCCAAATCTCTGCATTGATACCTTAGGTGCAAGATCTGGTCAATCTATTGGAGTCTATCATTGCAAGTCTCCTTTCAATCTCACAAAAATTCATGCACGTCAAATGTTCTTACTTAGAAGACATCGTGACATTTATGTTGAATTATCAAACAATGAATGCTTTGACATAGTCCATGGAACAGTCTCCTTGTTCCATTGTCAATTTAATCAAGGAAATCAATATTTTCGATATAATCTTGATACACAGCAAATTATGTGTGGACCAAAGAGAGATAAATTGTGTATGGAAGTTAATATGAGCACCAAACTTATCATCACTGCTTTATGTGATGAAAACAAAGTCTTGCAGAAATGGAAATGGGGTTTTGTGAATACTACAATGTTGAAGAATTGGAATGAATATGGAAAGCCGATAATGGATATGATTGAGAATGAGGATGTAAGAAGGGAGAATTATTGAATAAATAATTAAAAAATTTAAAACATTTTATTAAAAAACTTGGAATACAAAAAATATAAAAAGCAGAAAAAATATATTTTAATTTAGTTTCAAAAAGCTTAATTCGAAACAGATATTTTCTACAATGTCGTGGCATAAAGGATCAACTACAAACGAGCTCTGGCTCAACAAAAACTTGTAAAATCTGACATTAATAAATTTTTTAAATAATCTGCTTCTGGAGACTATGATCACAATGTTTATGATTTTTGACATGCAAAATTAATGCTGCATTAGAAGTGCTTATTTATCTTAATATTATCTTGACTTTTCTAATGCCTTAACCTATAATCAACCGGAACTCTCGGTCCAAATTTCACCTGAGAAAAAGATCTGTGTACCACTGCAAGCCTTTGTTGGATATTTTGCTAGGTCCTCTGTGATGTCTTTTTTCTACGATGTTGTATGAATTTGGATAGAACTCTGTAAGATTTAGAAAAAAATATAAAATCTTGAATATTAAATATAGAATGTGTGCTTAGCAAAACAAGGTATTCTGAATTATAATAATATATTCAAAGTTGTAGTTTTTTAATAGAAAACAAGGGTTTGGAGTCAAAAAATGTTTAAAAATGATCAAAATGTAATATAACAGTTCCGCACCGTTGACAGGAAGTTTGTTGATATCTTGTGTTCGACAGTCACAGCTGTAAACTTAAATATTACAAAATTCAAGTTTTTTTTATGCCTTTATCACCTGTTTTTTTGAAGGCGAGCAATAAAATGATCAACAAATTGTGTGAAGATGATTTAATTTATTACTTAATCTATTCAGCAATAGGCTTTGTCTACATATTTTGTCTTGTAATATTTTTACAAGAATATGATGGTTTCCATAAGTGAATAGCAAGACATCGCGTCTAGATTATCCCTTTCTGTTCATTCGTAATTCAATTTGCATTTTCAATGGTTTTTTGGATAAATTATTATTTTTTTTGTCGATTAGCTCGTGCTGTTAATTTACTTTTATTGATTGAAAGCGCTTAAATGTCTACATTTCAGATTTGAGAAGGGAAATTTCTATTTCTTGAGAATTAAAGATTATTGTATATTGCAAACAATCAGAAGATATGCTTTAAAATTAGAAGAATGACGAAGATATTCTATTCTTAAAAATTTTCAAAATAACAAATTTAATCTCAGAGTCCTAGCTTTTTAAACCCCATTTATTCTAATCATGCTGAACAAACTACGATCTAATCGCCGATCTTATTGCATTTGTCCGATTTCGAACTTAAAAAGATAATCAACAATATTAAAAATAATTTGTTTTTGCAATATGATTAATTGACCAATTAGATTAATTTAAGAAAATTAATTTTAACTCCAGCTGATTTTCTAGAAACATTCCATCCACGAGTCGTCGTTTAAAGCTTCAATTTTAAAATATAGTCCAAAAAATTATCTTCTCATTAGCACGAATTCTTGTAGAATTAATTATGTGATCATTTAGCGTATTATTTAAATTCACGTGGCGTTCAGAATTTTACGTTTTTTAACTACCGTAATATGAATTAAGAATCTGTCACTGTTTTGTTGAGCGCACAACCTTGAACTTGTATTTCATCTGTTGATTGTGATACAAAATTTAAAGCAATAATATTGCACACTTTAATGATTCTCTATTTATAACTTAACTATTCAATCGTTCTGCTTAGAATCTTTTTAAAAAAATACTTTTATGGACTTTATGCTTATTAAAATGTTTACCTCTGCTTTGTGGAGACTGCCATGAGTCAACAGTACCGTCACTTCGATGGTAATAAGATGTTCCTGATTGTAAATCATATCGATAGTTGTGAAGACTTTCTCCAAATATTCCACTTATCCAATTTCTGATAAATGCTAGGAATTAAATTATAGTTTTTAGAACAGATTCTCGGTTATTATTAAACACTAGTTTTAGTTCGTATTTTATTTAAAAATATATCGTGCTCTAGTCAATCAAACTTAAATCTAGTTTTTTGTAGATTGCAAGACTTTACTGGATATAAATAATTTACCTTTTGCAGAGCACTGAGACAGAAGAAGCGCTAAATAAGTTATCACTGTTAAAACTGATAAAACCTTCATTTTGTTTTAGATCTTTAAAAACAACACTTATTTATGTCCCAAATGTTATATTAAAAACATTTAAATTCAAATTTTTTCAACAATTAACTTAAATTGACGATGAGTCTCAATAAACTCAACTTCAGACTAGCTTTAACTTATTCAACTATTAAAATTTATTCAACATGTATATTCCATCTATTTCTCATGCATTTAAGCAACACAGCTGATTAATTTGTTTATTTAATGTGCTTTTGATGCAGATCTTCGACTTCGACTGTTCACGTCGCAATCAACTGAAAAACTGACAAAAAAATAAATTCACACATTTGTTAGCAGATAGAAGAATAAAATGAAGAGAAGCAAGAAATTGCGTATATCCATCAATAAAGGTTTTGCTTTGTTTACATCTCTTAAAAGACAAAACCGGTGTTTTGTTTTGTTTGGACATTTGTGGAGCATAAGTATGTATGAAGATCAGCCAATCTTATAGTTCATTTGGTTGAGTCACAATATTTCTTTATTTTTAATGTTTTGTTTTTCAAAATTAAAGATTATCAGGCTTTGTTTTTAATGGTTTTTAAATTTTAATTGTGAAGTTTTTAATGAATAGATGATGTGCTTTTAATTTGTTTAAAGGTTTTGGTTCCTGTTTATACTTTTCTTTACGAATTGTCAAGTTGCATTTTAAGTTCTTCATAGATCTAGTTTTAATGTCAATGATTTTTGGACCTATGCAAGAATGGGATTTTTACAAGGGCAGCAGCAATGCGGAGTTGTTTTAGGCGGCTTCTGAGGGAAGCCTTGGATCATAATTGATCTATACGGCCAGCGAAGTAAAGTAAGTAAGTAAGATCAGAGTGTGACCAATTTGGATCTAATGTGATTATCAGAACCAATTTTACTTATCTTCGCGCTCTTTTACTAGGTTTTATTTAAGCAATAAAAAATAAATTTCGACATAAATCGATCGTATTTCAAGCAACGCGTAATTGCTTATCACGATAAAACAGATCGCATTCAGCTACGGAACATTCAAGTAGTTTTCCAATTATTTCTCATTTGAATATTAAAGGATGAACTCGACACACATTTTAATTTCAATTTTTTTCTCAATTTATTTTCTACTTAATCACGGTGAGTATTTTGTGTGAAAAGTTTGAAAATATTTAATATTTTTAACATTTAGAATTAAAATCAAGAAGATTAAGTTTTTTAGGTAAACATTTTAATTTTTTTAAAAATTGACAATAAGAGAATTTTTTAAAAAAATCTCATTATTTTAAATTAAAAAAATGGTCTTTTAATAGTTTTCAACATTTTAAAGTTCATTTAATTTTCTTCTAAATTTTAAAAAGCACAAAAAATTATGAAAATAAGATTTATTTGAATTTTTCTTCTCTCAGCATTCGCTGGATACTTATTTCCGGCACCAGAATGCGTAAAAACCGCAAATGGTCATTACGACAGCAAAATGTTAAGTCCTGTATCAAATATACTACGCTGTCGGGCAGGACAAAGAATGAAAATTGTAACTTCTACCAGTGCCGACATAGAAACAGACTATTGTTGTTGCAACTGGGATGAGACACTTTCAGCTGTTCAAACTTCAAAAAATGAACGTAAGTATCATCATCCATTGTAGGAATGATAAAGAAGCAGAAACAAAATTACTACGTAAATTATTAATTTGTATTTTTGTATTTGATGTCATGTGATAAATAGTGAAGTTTTACGCTAATAGATGTGAATTTGGAGATGGTGACTCAAAGATGCCTATTCGTGAGAGTTTAATGGTTCATGGAAATGATCTTAATTGCTTTCGTGAAGAAAAATTAATGAGTTTTAAGGCTGAGATTAATGGGAAGATACAAGTCATGTCTTGCTGTAAGACCATCCCTAGAACGACAACAACAACTACAACAACTGAGCAACCTAGTACAACTCAAACAGTCCCATCCGATTTCGAAAATCAAAACAAATCCGAGACCAGAAAAGAAGTTCAATCATTTGATCCAAATACAAACATTTCTGAAAATCAAGCTTCAGAGGATCCAAAACCTCCTCAAAATGAGACAACAGGAACTAAAAATGCCACAAATCAATCTCAAGAAACCCAAAAAGACCAAAAAATAACGCTCCTCGAGTCACAAAAAGTTGTAATTTCAATAATGAACGATCTTACAAAAACAGACATTGAAGATATTGATGATGCAATCCTAGAAGTTGATACGTCACCAATTCCACATATTAAGCTACGAGGTAATGAAAATAATCTACCTCCATTGATGTCTAAAAAGAAATCAACGCCGAAGGTTGAATACATTCTTAACTCATTTTTTGCTAAGGATATAGATGGCCAACATAACGTTGTTCAACGTTGCTGTAGTTACTCTAGTGCTCAATATATGACAAGTTCTGTTTTTACGTTTTTGGTATGTTTTGTATTTTGTGTGTGTTTTCATTGTCTCTTTATCTTCAGCTAGTCTGACATATGTTTTAATTATTTTTTTAAACTTATAAAGTTGGATTTTAACTGGAGGATTTAGTTGGGAATTTCGGATGTCTCATTTATCTCTTACTAGTAGTACCTTAATTAATGACAATATTTCTCATAATAATGACTTAAACTATTACTCAATGATGAACATGTTTTAACCTTTAGAACTTTTCTAAACCTATATTAAGCTTTATTCCACTGTATATCTTGAACATAGCTTGGATGTAGTCTACTTCATTTTCATACTTAAGGGGCCGGTCACTTACAACGTCCATGGGGGTGGGTCAGCAAGAAAGGAACAATAGAAATTCCTGGAATTAATTGTTCTTTATTGAAAATTGACCGTTAATTTCGGACGTCACAAGTAAATAAAGAACGCTAAGAATGAACATCAGGAATTAGAGTACTTTTAGAATATTCTAAAGCAGTCTTGTCTAAACTACGTGCAGCGGCACTCTGGTGTGCTGTGGAAATTTTTGGTAACGACGCAAGCCACATACTGTGTGTGCCTTTGGTCATGCCTCAAAAGTTTGCCTTGGCTTAATGACTTTGGACAACACTTCTCTAAAGGATCGGACAGAGAAAGGCTTGAAAATGATGCAAAGTCTTTTAAAACCTTTAAGATTATTGACACTGATTTAGATTATTATGAATCTAGATTTTGAGACTCTTAAACCTTAACTGAACCCAAAATTTAAAATCAAAGCTCAAAAACAAGACGCAAAAAAATCCACCACAACTCAATTTAATTAACAGATTAAATGAAAACACAACAAAGTATTTAAAACGGATGAAGAAATATATTAAAAAAATATACTTGTTATTTATTAACCTTTTTAGAATTTTAAGGTTAGGATCTTATACACAGCTTAGCAAATTTAAGTCATTCAGCCCAATAAATAATTTTATTTAAAAAAAAACCAAAAAAAAAATAAAAACTTTTATTTTTCGAATTTCAGCTGCTTCAGCACAATCTCCGAATGTGAGAGCTGCATCAGAATGTGTATATGCATCAACTACATCTACAGAGCCAGTCAAAGGATACATGAGTTATGATGAACCTGGTGTCACTCTTGGATGTCGTTCACAGCAGACTATGATCAGTCTTAAGACCATAAATCCAGATGATGGAAATACTTATAACATTAATTGCTGTAAATTTGATGCAAAACTTCCAAAATTGAATACATTGCCAACAATTTTAGGTCCTCCATGTGAATTTGATGATTATGGAATGCTACAAAGTTATAGTGGTGTTAAACCTGGATCAGATCTGGTTTGTGACTCTAATAGTGAGTTGGTTACACTTAAAACAACTGATTTAGTAACACAATCTGATGTTAAGTTGGCTTGTTGTAAATTAAAACCTACAACCGTGACACCTAAAATAACTACAACAACTATTTTTCCCATAAGCCCATCTAAAAATGTTGTTGGCGCTGAGTGCGTATATCTTAGTGATGGCTCAATAAAAATCAACTATATGGACTACTGTGAGGACAAGATTTTATGTCGAGCGCAGCAATTTGTTAAAACACTCGTCAAATCTGGATGGGATCGATGTTGTTGTCAATTCAATAAAGATTTGCCATATAAAGATGCAGGAATAAAATTGAGAGCACCTGATTGTGTTTTTAAACCTGATGGAACAATTCGTCGGTGGAGTTTGGTTGCATCTGGATCTGATTTATTTTGTGATCCAGGATTTATAATGAAAAATGTTGTTTTCTATGAATATGGAAAAGATGAGTCGATGTCATGTTGTATAAAGGATGAACCAGAGACGACTACAAAAGTTGTGACAACAACCACTACTGCGAAACCTGTTGGATTGACGACACAAGCTCGTAGGTCTTAAGTTCCTTCATTTTCACTATTTTTATTAATTTTTTATTGTTTCATCTACAGCTATTTTGCCATTGGTTGGAACTCAATGCTCTTACAATGAAGATCACACTTTAAAAACAGGTTTTATGGATGTCTGCTCAGACAATTTTGCATGCCGTTCAAAAGAAGTCAAACTTGAAGTTATAGTCCCTATATCCGAAAGTGCTAAGGCTAAAAAATGTTGCTGTGATTATCAAAAGGATCTGCCACCGAATGCACCCTCAGTTCCTTCAATCATTGCACCTAAATGTGTTTATGATCATGAAGGTAATGTAAATTTGTGGAGCGTTGTAGAAAGTGGAAATGATCTAGGCTGCAAGTCAGTTGACAATATGATGACTTATGATCTTGGAAATGGTAAATTATTATGAAATATTTTGCATAAATTAATTTATGGTTCAGACAATATATAGGAAGTTGAGCAGTCAAACATATTGCGATAGTTCTTACTGAAAGGTCTTACATGTCAATATGATAAAACCTACAAGGAACCTTATGAGTTTTTATTTGTTTAAACATCATTGGACTGATTTTTCAAGTGTAACTTTGTCATATACTAAAGTATGGCTAAAGTTTACCTGAATAACCAGCTTTCTGATTCTTTGATCGAAACCAATCAATTTTTTTTCGTCCTTAAATTTAACAGATAACAGTAAAATGTCATGCTGTCTCAAAAAGGATGCAGTCACAATTCCAACGACAATCAGGACAACAATTATGTCAACTTCAACAACCGTTTTGCCAACAACAACGACATATTTACCAACAACTACAACAACTGCACCCGAGACAACAACAATTCAAACTTCAACAACTCAAATGACGACAACAACAACAAATCCTTCAAGTTCAACCTACAGTCGTGTTCCAACAAAAGATGTGATTTTGAAATCAGCAGCTTTAGAATGTGTTTATCATAAAAATGGAACCTTAAATCTTGACTTTATGAATTGGTTCTCAAGCACTATTGGATGCCGTTCACAATATATTATGAGAAAGATTCCTGTTCAGTCATCAGATAATAATAAAATGTACACAAAAATTTGCTGTGAATACTCTAGTTCCTTGCCATTTGATCCATTACTGCCACCATTAATTGCTCCAACTTGCTACTTTTCATCCAGAACTTCAGAAATTGCAAGATGGAGCATTGAACTGTCGGGTCCTGATATAATTTGTAATACTGGATATTATATGTATAATACAACTATTTTATGGAATGAAAAAGACACTGGATTCTCATGTTGTCAACCGGACGGAAAACCAATTCCAACTATGAAGCCTGCAGCAACTACAGCTGCTCCAAGTCCTAATCAAACAACAGCAAGTCGTATGTATTTTTATAAATCCTAGGGATATTGTGCTACAGCTTGGTACTTTACAACTTGTCATTTCTTACAGCTTTAACTCCATCAAACCAAACTGGACCCATATGCAGGTACAGTGCTGAAAAATCACTGCTAATTGATTACATGGAACTATGTGGCCCAAGTCTCTTCTGTCCATCAAAATATTCAGTCTTAGAACGAAAAAGCACATTTACGAATGGAAATTCTGTCAACATTTGCTGCTGTGATTTACAACCAGAACTTCCTGAAACTCCACCAGTTGCATCAGTTGACGCACTTAAATGTCAATTTGATATTTATGGAAATATAAATGTTTATAGTGTTGTTAGCTATTCATCAAACCTTATTTGTAGTCCTGGTGATGAATTGAGGAATTTTACACTTGAATTAAGTTCCAAAATGCAGACAATGTCATGCTGTCTGTTTAAAGGAGAAACAACAGTTGCGACGACACCTAGAATGACTGGTAAGTAGAGTGTATTATGGGAATAATTGAGAAGAAAGGATTGCTTTATCTTTAGCTTATAAAATCCCAAATAAGCATTTTTGATTCAAATTTTGAAAAAAAGCTCGAATAAAATTAATTCACGATATTTCTTAATTTTATAGATGCTCCAACAACTTCTGCTTCACAAGGTAATAAATCATTTAATTCTGAAATAAATAAATATGATCCTCGATTTTCTGTGTTTTCAGGTCCAGATGATCCTAATGCAACAACAGATGCTGGCAGCACAACCAGTAAATATGATTTTTAAGGAAAATACTGAAACAATTTTTAATCTTTTTTAATCATTTTTTTAGTTGCACCAACAACAGTTTTCAAAGGAAAGAGGACAGGTATGTGAGATTGTTTGCTGAGTAATAAGTTCCTCAATCTTGTTCCTAGTCTCTAAAGATAAATTCTAATCCCAAACCTACTTAATAATCTCCTTTAATCAGCTCCAGCTAAGAAATCCCCACCAAAACGAGCCATCGGCCCTGGTGAATGTCCAGACTGCTTGTATCCTGCATCTGGACCTGTAGACTCACTTCAGATGATTATCCAGCATTTAAAAGCTTCTGGACCAACTATTGGTCTATGTCCATTTAAGACACATACTTTACGCATCATTCAACCATTGCCATTTATGGGATACAAAGAAGGACGCTGCTGTTGTGAAAATGACCAGTTTCCACTACCTTACAGCTTCAACTAGAGTTACTTGAGTTGATCTTGTACTTTACTAAATTTTTGAACTGAAATCTTAACCAAAGCTTTAATAAAATTTGAAAAATTCGGGAATATATAAAGTAAAATAAAACACTTCAATTGATACAAAGCTATCTAATCTCTATTTTATTTAATAAGTAGCTTCAAGTAGGCTTTATCTTAATTGTTTGAGTAATTCAATAATAATCCACATTAATTGTTGTACTTTTGTTAAGTAAAGTCATGAAGTTTCTGACATTTTGTATGGTTTTAAGCCTGTTTTATTTGGAAATTTATGGAGAAAGCTACAAAGATGCAAAAGTCGTTGACTTTACAATTGATACTGAGAAGCAATTAGAAGCACTGAAGCGTTTGGAGCTGGATGATGGGGTAAGTACTTAAGAGGAGAAAGTTGGGATGGGAAAGGTTCTGGTAATAGGATAATGTTGCAAGGGACTAGCCACGACTAGCTGCAATATAGTCTCTTAACTATGTTCTGTCCTAAACTCGGTAAAAATGTTATAATATACTCTCATCAATCTGGCTCGGATCTAGCCTCAGACCAAATGATATATAAATTTATAACTAATTTCCTGATTTATCAACAGTTTAAGTTCTGGATATCACCATATCAAGTTGGTATCAAGACTCAGCTCATCATTTTAGCACAAAAGTTTATAGAATTCCAAGAACTTGCTCAGGAAACTGGACTTATTTATCAACTTATTACTGATGATGTTCAAAGGTAAGAATTCATTTTCTTATCAATTTTTGAGTTCGATATGCTCACACACTTATGCTTAATTTCTTATCAGCTGGTTTGATAAAGAAAAACCTGAACGATCAAGAAGAAGGAAAGAAGGCGAAATAGTATTCGATGAATACAAAACGTATGAAGAAATTTTAAACTTTCTCGACCAAATGCATGCAGATTATCCAAATGTGACTGAAATCTTTACTCTTGGCACTTCATTTGAGGGAAGAGTTATTAAAGGAATCAAAATCACTAAAAATGAAGACAGTCCAATCTTATTTATTGATGCACATATTCACGCAAGAGAATGGATAGCTTCGGCATCAGCTGTGTGGCTGATTCATGAGCTGTTGACAACACAAGATGTAAATGTTAGAGAACTTGTTGACGGATTGACTTGGATTATTATTCCACTATTGAATCCTGATGGATACATTTACAGTCAAAATGTTGATCGTACATGGAGAAAAACGCGTTCAACTAATGCATCAATGTTATGTACTGGAGCTGATCCTAATAGGAACTTTGCTTATAATTTTATGAGTAAGTTGATTAATTTAAGATCGGGCATTGGGGTTTATGATATTACCAATTGCAGAGTTTCTCAAACTATGCTCTGTGACACTCTTAGGTGCCACCAAAAGTTTTTAAGGTTTAAAATTCTACCAAATTTAAACGAGATAACTAATTTTACGGGAAAGTAAATTTTGAGCACCTCTGGCGTATGCCTTGGTGCTTTTCTGTTATGAAAATTGTATGTTTACATTGACGACTACCATCATTCATCATTATTAGGTCCTATTGGTAGCCATACAGTTAAATAAAATTACGGAGACCAGTTTTTCCCCAAAAATTCAGGGTATACCAGAGGAACTAGCCCCAAAAAGCCACCAATTTCCATCATTCACTAACCTAAGCCTCATTATAACAATTCAAATTAATTTCAAATAAATTTTTAGTGGGTGGAGCATCCCAAGTAGCTTGCACTGACACTTTTGCCGGACGTGCACCATATACAGAACCAGAAGTGAAGGCGCTTGTCGATTATTATGAAAAAGTTCATGAAAAGGTCAAAATTTATTTGTCATTCCATTCCGCTGCTGAGATGATCTTGTATCCAATGGGACATACTGGTACATTTGAGGAAGTTCCAAATGTTGCTGATTTGGTGAGTTTTTTTTTGGATCTGATTTTAAGCAACACAAATAAGATATGAGTTAGCATTAATAGACGTAAATGAACTTGAAGTTGAATATCAAAATTAACATAGAATTTAAACTCTCATTAGGACGCCATAGCTGCAGCTGCTGCAACTGCAATTAAAGTAAGATACGGAACAAACTACGTCTATGGAAATTCCTACAATACACTGTCTGTTGCATCTGGAACCAGTAAGGATCACATGTATGGACACTTTAAGACACCAATTTCCTATACATATGAATTTAGAGTTGCTAAGAATGGACTCAGATTCGTACTTCCAGCTGATGAAATTATTCCAAACTCTGAAGAAATGTTTGATGGAATTTTGGCAATGATTGTAAAATCAAAGGAACTTGGGTATTTTTAAGGAAATTTATCATGCTGGATGTGATTGTGGTGGTTAAAAATCGATTAAAATCGACATGCTCAATAAAAAAACAAATTATTTTAAAATTAATTTAAAAATTTTATTTACAGTTGTTTAATTTCAATTACTCATTAATCCATAGAATCCAGTTGCTTTAAATCTGTCGTATCCAGGTCTTACTTACATAGCTGTAGTATCGACTGTAATTTAGCCTCAAGTATGCTAAAGTTTAGCTGAGGTAAGCCTTAGTTCCTTAAAGGTTTTGACTCATCTATCATAGTCCATAGTGCTGCTCTCCAAATATCTTTTACTATAAAGTATTAATCGTCGGTATATGAATGAACTGGATTTCATAGACTTCAGCTTGATTTGTTAAGAACTTTGAACTTTCTGGTACAGTAACGATAACTTTAGGATGTTCAACTTGATCCTGCATAATCTCCTTACTATCAGCGATTGCTGCTGTCTCAAAATTCACAACTTCAACACTTTTTATCTCAATTTTTGGTTCTGGCTTGACTGGTTTCATTTTAAGCCGATCTTGAGGAAATGTGAAATTATTTTCATAAAAAATTCTCTTAAAAGTTGTGTACGATGGACAGGATTCATGATTGCCTGACTTAAAGCTATTGTACAATGTCCTCAGACTTCGAAAATTTAAATCACAAATAACTTTCTTTCTAAACTTGCTGTCATTGTCAGGCATGCATTTGAGCATTAAAAATTCTTTTATTGAATTCACAATTTCTGGCTTAATTTTATTGCTAGGCTCGTGCTTCCCTCGACGATCCTCAGAATCAAAGAAATTTGTGTACTTATTTTTGTATTGGAAGGCTTTAATCAGTGGACCATTCGAGATTGACAAAGTTTTAAGAAAGAAGTTCTGGCAAACTCGTTTGTCGCACAAATAAAAAGTTTTTGAATTTGTTCTTTTAATTTCACTTGACGGATTTGATGGACGTCTTCTTTTTGGTGTTGCTGACTTGACATTTGCTAAAATAAAATCTTTTTGTCTCCGATAATCTTTGAGATTCCAAAAACTCTCGCAAATCTTTTCACGAATATTTTGTGGAAAGTTTAATGAACATTTGTATTTACAGCTGCTGCAGTCGATTGATTTTGGTGACTTTTTTGTGAATTCTGATTTTGATTTGTCCATTGAGGGACGTTAATCGGGGTTCGGATGACGATTTTGGTTTTTTGTTTTGAATTTTAATAATGTAAACAATACTTGGGGCTTGTGACTATGTTGAATTGTGGGTGCGGCTTAATATTAAGAGAGGATATGTGAAGTTGAAGAGAAAAAGGGGAAATTAAAAGTCATTGCATGCGATTTGATCATTTTTGAACGCATGGAACTTTGCATGCAATTAACAGGCATCTATGTGCTTATTTTTGCATTTTACTAATGCTCGATCAAAAATAATGCAACACTAATTCAAAAACTAAATGGATTCACAAATATTCAACCTGTGACTTGACAAACTTGTCGAAATGGTTGAATTGTTGCGTATTTTGTGCTAGCATTTCACTTTCGAAGTTGTGTCTGATGTTAGAAAGTCGATTGGTGTAAGTAATATGTCAAATACTGGCTTCAGCTCCTTCGAATTGTTCAGCTGAATCATCTGAACCTTTTCTTGATGGCCAAACTTCTGAGATCAGCTGAAACAGAACTCTAATTAGCAGATCTTGAAGGAGAAACTTAAAGACAAAATAGCTGCAAATAAATTTTAAAAATAAAAAACGCAACAATTTTTTTCACTTTTCAATTTTCTTTATTTCACTTTAACATTACTTATGGTTTATTATTATTTTTTTTCTCTTTAAACTCAAAAAACTTTCTTACAGTGTCTCTTGCTTCATTCAGTTTTCAATATTTTCTTCTTCTTTTCATCTTTGTCTGAGAATTTTTTTTAAAAAAGGAAAAATTGGATTTTGAAAAATCGTGAATTGTGTTTTATTTTGCTGATGACAGTGTAATTTTTTTTTGAATATTTTTTTATTGAATTTATTGAAATTTTAAGAAAAGTTTTGCTTTCTTGATTGTTTTTACTATTTTTTGTTAAAACTTTTAAAATTCAGAAATTTGCCAATTTATTAAATCAAATGTTTAAAAAGCAAAACTTTTAAATTTTTTTAATATTTTACTTTTTTTACTATCGAGAAATTTGCCAAACGATTTATATCTTCATGAATATTACATTTTAATTGTATAAGTAGAAAGAAAGTAAAATCAAAAAAAAAAATCCAAAAAGGTGCGAAAAATGCTTAAATTTTTAATGACACACTGCTTATCAGTTATGTACGATTTTTATTATTATTTTATTTTTTAATTTTTTCTTTTTCTTATTTTCTATTTTAAACTGGGTGAATTTATTTTTCCTCTATTTCATTTCCTTTAAATCCCATACATATTTATTATTTTAACAGAAATAATTTTTTTCGATTAATTAATGCTGCTTCAAATTTACTTTATTTAAAATTGTTTATATTCTCATATGAGGTAGTTTTGTTATCAAAGCATGAAAAAGGGATGGAAGCTTTTTGTGAGATATTTTTCATTTGTTTTGAATTTGGAATTACTAGTTGAATAATGATTGTGGTTTTATAAGCATTGTTGAGTGTTTTAAGTTTGTATAACTTTTGAATTTTCTTTAGTTTTATTTTTGTTGCTTGAATTTAAGTTGGTTCTGATAAATTGAAATAAAGCCAAATTTTCAAATGTAAATTACTCAAAAGTTTACATTTTCGAAATTCAAATTTTCAAATGAAACATTTTCGAAAACAAACATTGCTTCCAATAAAAGCCAATTCTAGCATCAAATCCATCACACATTTAGCCTCCATTCCTCCGATTTGTAAAGTATTTTGTAAATAATAAAGAAAAATTCTTTCCATTTTTTTTTATAATCAAATAAAGATTTAGTCCCGTTTTGTTATGCTTCATTTCTTATTTGGTAAGAGAAAACTGAGAAATTATTTTGACAATATTAACGTAATTAACGTCAAAGTCAAATTTATTGAGGTAGCTGTTTACATTTTTTATTTTTTTTTGTAAAAATAATTTATAGTTTTGAGTCATGAACTTTAGCAAAAGTTTTTATTATTTCTATGGATTTGTTGAAAATTTGAGGTATTTTTTAATTTCAAATAAAAACTAAGGAAAGCTATTGGATTTGTTGAGGCTATGTTTTAAGTTTTTTTTTCTCCACCAAATTTTCAAAATTTTTAAATTTTCACATTTTATTTTTGGGATTGGAAAGATTTTTTTTAATTTATGAAAAAGTGAACCAAAAGTATTTTTGTTTACAATTAATGTCTACAATTATGCCAATATTTTTTTTTCAAAGTGAATTAAATGTGAGAAATTTCTACAAACTTTTTACCGTCCTCATAATCTCGTTTTTTAAAACTATTACTTGATTTTTAAATGAACTATTTTATTTCTTCTTTTTTTGATAAATATTTTAAAAATGTTCTGCATAAATATTTTTTAATTTTATATTTTTTTTTACTGTAATAACTTTGATATTTTCTTTTTTTTGCATTTTTATGATTCATAGATTATATTATGAGACAAGTGGGGCTCTGGCTGTATTGAGGGGTATCATGTGATTCTTTCTTTGACTTAATTGTGAGCTCGACGATGGTTTTGAGTTACAAAATGGTTCTTTTATGGTTTTTGATGTTGCAGTAATGTTGTACTCATTGTTGCAGTCATGACACACACTGTGTTGCCTTCATGTTGCTTACATGTGGTACCACATTAACAAAATATCAAAATCCACTTTAAAAAACCACATGAGCACACTAGCAGCCTCCCCAAACCCGCCTCAACATGTAATTATTTCATTTTATGTATTTGAATTGGTTTAATTGTAACTTTTTTATTTTTTACTTTTTATTTTATTTTATTTTATTTTTTTTTTTCATTTATATTATTGAAATGTTGCTAATCGTTAATAAATCAACATATACTATCAGGAACATAAACTATTATCACACACAGGCTGGCTAGTATATGAAGATTATAAATATATAATTAAAATTATTTAAAAAGTAGAATAATAGTAATAATAATCGTAATAATAATAGTAATCGTGATCATTCTCCATTTCTATCTTTCATGTTTTTTTCATCATCATCATCTTAAAAAAAATCATATTTCACGCTTTGAAGTGTGACAAGCAAAACTTTCATCGTCTTCGTTCCTTCTTTTATTATTTATTTAGAAATTAAATGAAAATTATTAATTATTAGAAAATTATTAGAGTAAAAGTATTAAAAGAACTAAATATATTTTACGTTGGTCTTGACAAAATTATTATTTTTATATTCATAATATTTATAATCAATATGAATAATCAATTAAACTCAAATTACAAAAAAAGAAATAGTTTTTAAATGTTTGTGATTTTTTTTTTCGTTGAAGAAGCTAGTCCACAAGATTTTGGGGTTCGAAGTTGGTGTTTGTGGAATTTTATAGGTATTTATTTAAAAATCAGGGCATTTTTTTAATTCAAACTTTAGTTTGTTATTTTTTGATGTTTTAATTTTTAAAGAAATTTAAATTTCGAATATGTAAACTTTCAGAATAAATGTGAAAAAGATTAAAATTTTAAATATTATTCCCTCTTAATTTCCTGATTTTCGACTTATTTCAACCCCATTTTTCGATGTAATCTGTTTTAAAATTATTAATTTCAAAGTTTTGCTTCTTTTTTTGTTTTATGGTTTGATTCACAAAATTGTAAATTAAAAGTTTCAAGAAGTTTCAACCAATTTGTATTCTGTATTGTAATATAATTGATGATAGCTTTTATTTTAAGAATTAAATCTTTAAAATAAGAGTAAAATCTGAATTTTACCCGTTTTTTAATCAATCAAAAAGTGAAAAATTAATGAAATAATTGCCTACAACACGTACAAGAACTAAAGTGCGTAATATTTAAATGTAATTCAGTCTCCAGTTTCCGCACGAGTTCCAGAGCGTGTTGTGACAACTTTTCCATCAAAAAATATCAGAACACAAATTGGATTTTTTGAATAAGAAAAAAAGTTTGGCTTACAAAATAAGAGAAAATATATTTTCAAAAAAAGTAATTTTTTCAAAACTTCCACGCGGAAGTTAATTTTTTTTTGTTTTTGTTTCCATGTCCTGAGCTAAATAATAATTTTGTTTGTTTTAAATTTCGTTGAATAATTTTTGACTGCTCCTAGTCAGCATGTGGCATAAATTAATTTGTTTATTTTTTTTCGTAATTCAAAGTGACCAATCCTTGGTAGAGAATTATTTTTTAATGTATTTGAAAAAAATTTCTGATCATTTTTTTGGGTTAGGTTTAACTGCAAATGTGATTTTTTTGTTGCCTTATGAACAATTTTTTTTTCATGTCATAATTTTTTTAATTTTTTCCATGCCAAAAAAACTTTAATTTTTACTAATTCTAATAATTTTATCTTTTTCCCAATGAAAATTTTACTTCTCGATTTTAATTTTATGCTTGGTTTTTTTTTGAATTTTTTGGGTGTGAATTGTCAGGTGTTTTGAAAATTTGGGTTTGTTTTGAATTTTGAGGTTATGTTTCTCACTTTTGAGGTTTTGTTGCCAAGTTTTAAGGTAAGATTGAAAGATTTTTAGGTTATGTTGCCTAATTTTAAAGTTGCGTTGTCAAGTTATTAAATTTGGGTACAAATCTCGAACAAACCTCACAAAAACACCCAAAAAAATCACTTTATTTAAATTTTAAAATTTTATATGTCAATTTTTAAATCAGAAAATTCAAATTAAATTAAAATGTTATTATTTTTACTTTTTCTTTCAATTCTCAATTTTTCTGCTTCCAAAATTATTAATTTTCAAATTTTTTCTGCCATTATTATTTCAATTTATCTTTTTTGAATATTTGTTTCAAATTTGCAGGATATTTTTATGTGATTTTTGCTGCTATTTCAAAGCATTTTAATTTTTTTTACCAAATAGGTTTTTTTTAAATATTTTTGAATATTACTTTCTAAAGTTTTTTCTTCAATTTTATTTCATTTTTTATTTTTTCTGAATGTCGATGATCAGAAGAATTTTCTGTTTGCCAAATTTTATATATTTCTCATTTTTTATTTTTTTTATTTGTGAATCAATCAAATGTCAATTTTTCTCTGTGTTGTAACGTCTTTTTTGTTGAATTTTTAGCCAAATTTATTTCATTTTTTTTCTTGTTGGATATCGCCGAAGAGCATAATT